GATATGACATTTTTAGATCCTTTGAGCTCTCAATGCCTATTGATTCATGTTATTAACATGTTAAGGATGATGTTTGCTCATTTTAAGGTCATTATATTGTATTTTTCTTGTTCATTTGGTTGTTTACTTTTGATTTTCCAATTAGAGTTTCTATATGAAACATGCTTGCTTTCCTTTGGGAATTTGCTTGCATTTCCTTGTGGTTTACTTCCTTTTTCTTTTGAGAACTTTTATTTCATGTCCCTTTTTGTCCAATGACTTTGGAACCTCAATTGAGGTAGCTTAGTCCCTCCTTTGGAGGTATTTGAAGCATGCTTAAAGATGATGAATCCATGAGGACTTCTCTGTGCTTTCTTGTGCACATTTCTTGTGATGCTTATGGTTGAGTGTCGTTATGGTTTCCTTGTTGTCCTCATATTTCCTCCCATCATCACTTTTATTTAGGTTTTCTTTGCCTTTCATTTGTGTTTATGTTTTGGCATTATGGTTGATGTTGTTTGGTTTATGCCATTTCATCCCATTTTTGATGCTCTTGTGTGCTTCAATTGATGCATTTCTTGATCCCTTCATTTCTTGCATTTGTCATATTGTTGCATGAGGTTTAGATGAGTTTGTGGAGGCTACTGCCCCACACCAATTTCCTCTCTAGTTTTGCATTCTTGCATGTTTATGTTGTTTCCTGTTGTTTCTTTTGTCTCCTTTCCCTTAGGACCTATAATCTCTTTTGTTCAAGGGAGATTATGATAGACATTAGGATCTTAACCATGTATGACAACATTAGGTAGCATTCCTTTATCTCAATCTTAGGATCACCATTTCATGACAACTTTAGGTTTGGATTTAGTCCCCCTTTAGTGTCCTTTCCCTTCTCATCTCAAAACAATCATAAAACATCTAATAAAGGTTAAGGATTATTGTACGTTACGAGCCTTAAGCACTTGGGAAAGGGTTGTTGAGGAGTTTCTCTTCAATGGCTTGAATGTTTAGTATAACACCTTTTGGGTGATATACGACACATTCACTCCTAAGTCATAGTCTCTAGTGCAATATGAATTGCAAACAATCCAAAAACACTTCTTCTCTAAAAAACACAAACAAATCATTCAAACTTATTTTTGCCCTTTGGGGCCTTTGATCTTGGAAAATCATTTTCATAAGGAGAGTTTTGTTAACTCTTGGTTCTATCGCAAACGGTAACACCTAAGTCTTCAATGGTCGAGCTGCATACACCAATCTGCTAGAACTGATTGTTAACCCTACTCGGGTAAAACAGTTGAACAAACTTGTGTTCCCTTTTGACCCGAACTACGTTTGCTCTGATCTTTCATACCAGATGAAAGTACGTAGGCACAAGACGCGATGTCTTGGCGAGCAACCTTCCCCCCTTTCACCCGTAGTTAGTCGAACTACGTTGACTCTGACTTCAGACTTCAGATGAGATACGTAGGCACAAAGCGTCGTTGCTTTGCTGAGTCACTTCTTTTTTCTTTTATCCTCAAGCCTGTAGTTAGATAGTTCCAAACACCCTTTTAGATAGACAACAAGCGTGGATCCCGTCGAGTACGACGAACGTGAGGGGTGCTAACACCTTCCCCTTGCGTAACCGACTCCCGAACCCGAGATTTGGTTGCGATGACTGATCTTATCCCTATTTTCATTAGGTTTTCTCTGAGCGTTTCCTTTCCCTCTCTTGGGATAAATAACGCACGGTAGCGACTCTTCTGTCATTGTCGGCCTCGATTTTCGCAGTAGCGACAATGACATAGAGTGTTTACCAAATCCATAGATCATGAATTTGATATACAAGGTCTCAATTCAACATTTTTCCTCCTATTACTCTCCATGGTACCTGGTTGACCCCGTCTCCCAAGCAATATAGGACAATCCTTCATAGGAAGACATCACAATACTTGCTTCAACACCATCTTCAACAAGACATGACAGATGTCAGAACATTTTACAAGACACCATGCTTAACACAAGCATCATTATCAGCAACAGCGGACAAATCTTCACAGACCACTCAGTCAACCATCAGTAATTGTCTAGCCAGATTTAGAAAACTATCCTCCTAGCTTCCAATCTTCTTTAGGACAACAGTAATTGATGATCTTATCACACAATCTCCTTCCTTGTTCAAAAGATCAGAAAGTATCTTCACTACAACTCATCTAGAAATAGAACATAATGTTTGCTCTGATACCAATTGAAATTTTGGCGTGCATATCTCAAATGTTCCAAGAGATGTCAAGACATTAGTCTCTGTATGACTAAACAAGGCTTAGCAGAACATACCAGAACAAACCGATATGTCAAAAGCAAAACAGTATGATGACAAATGTTTAAATATATGTTAAGACATGTATTTTACAATAAGAGATAAAACTGAAATATTCATAACAAAATGATAAATAACACCAATATATGACAACCAAGTTCGGTGTACAATAACACCTATATCTTGGGGCTACCAAGGCAGGAACGAATCCACTATTAATAGTATTAATTTAGAGCTAAACTCCCTCATTTATAACTCCTTACTTAATCCCTACCTAGTACAATTCTATCTAGAAATCACCATCTAGATAAGAGAACTCCATCTCAATTCCTAATCACCTCAGTGATATCTAATAGTTACAACCTCCAGTGACTATATCAAACTGTTCAATTGAAAGACACCCATTTCAATACAAAATTCAGTCAAGACTCTTGACTAACAATCATGCATGAATTTTCTTAAAAGCTTCATCCAAGAACGATATACAATTTATTACCTATAGATTTCTGAATATGTAAAATAATGTCTACCACAATGTATCAACTGATACAATATGTGACTTACAGCACAAGAAAGTACATGACTCTCAAAACCCTAAATCCTTATAATTACTTTATAAGAATTCGTTACAAGGTCTACTCTCTTATTATGCCTTAGGTCTTGGTCTTCCTTTTATAGCCTTCAGCAGTCCATGGGCTTTGAAGTCTCTGTCCAATCTTTCCTTGATCCACGTTCTGATTGCACATTAAATCGTGGAACAGATCTGCAATAAATCTGCTGCACCAGACCAAGATGCCGAGTCCCCAATGCTAAGACATCTTGTCTGACATGTTGTTCTTTATAAATTTCTTCTTGTTGGAACATCTTGTGCAGCATTATGTTTACCAAAATTTAGTCAAATCTTTAGAGCCTTCAGGAACAATTTCAAAAGCCTATGATTATCATTTAACTCATAATAAGGTAAGGAGATAAATTGTACCATCTTAAAAGGACAATCATGTAGGCTTTGAGGTTATAATTTAAATGTGGCTAAAGGGTTACAAAACTCGTAAATAAGGATATTCAGGGAGGCATTTGAAAGTAGGTGGAGAAAAAATGGTTGAAGAACCCTACTTATGAGTTTGTTAGACTACTAAAGTAGGAAAAAAAGGTTGGGAGAAAGTAGATGCAAGTGGCAAATTAAGGTTCAAGTGAGGCTTGAACTTGATAAAAAAAATGTTCAATAAATGTTGAATTGGTATAGAGAAATAAGGTGGTTGATGGGTAAATTTACATCACCACAGTTTCAACTCAAGATCGAGATTATTCAAGTGTGCCTTAAAACTTTAAGTGAATAAGACAAAGAAAACATGTTTATAGATTTTAGAAACTAGAAATTAGCTTATAACTCGACAGAGGCCGGTGGCGGTGACAAACTCGACGCAGCGTGGCCGCTGGCAGGTATGGTCGTTATCAGGTCTAGGCAATTTTCGTGTAACGATCTTGATTGTTTCGGTTTATGAATTAGTTTGTTAATATGTTATGTTTTTGATCCATTAAGTAATTGATGGTTTTATTAGTTATAAATGCGTATCTCCATAATTATTGTCATCACAGCCTTAAGAAATTTAGAGCTGAAGAAATAAATAAGGGTTTGAGAATCCTATGGTAATCTTAAAAAGACAATGGTAAATTATTAAAAAACGTGTTTTTGAAATTTGACAAACCATTGGAGATATTTATGTAAACTAGGTAACACTTCTAAATATTGAGATTGTGTGATTTATATATAAAGAGTATGAGGGATTAAGAAATACTTTAGGATAAAAAATAAAATTTGTTCTTGAAAATTTGAGTGATTATTTTCTTGTAACTCATTTGTAATGTTTTCTAATAATTTTTAAAAGTATAATAAATCAGATAACTCATCTGTCTTCTAAATTATTTAATCAAATTAGATTAACAAATAATTGTATTTTTTATTTATTTTTATCTTCATCTACCAAATTAAATTATTGCCTTATTATATATGAAATTATAGTTATTATCAGTGTTGTTTATCCTCCTCACACATGAAATTTCTTGATGTAATTAAACATTTCAATTTCACAATAATAACAACTAGAGACCAAAAATCTATGTGAATTACAACTTGTTATATTCTTTTCCTGCCAAGGAATTCTAAAAATTATTGTGATAATCGATTGATCATGGCATTCATGAAAAAAAACGAATAAGAATTTTTTAAAATATATATATATATATATATATATATATATATATATATATATATATATATATATATATATATATATATATATATATATATATATATATATATATATATATATATATATATATATATTCATACGAAACATTTTAATTTTCATTTCATAATTACTCACTTTATTTCTTTTGACATTCTTTCCTTTCACATTTTTTTTTTAATTTCTTGGAATTTAATTGAAAAGTGAAATTTTTTCACGCATATCATAAAGCTAATACATGTGCAGAAGCTTTATACAGGTCTAACTTGATTCCCGAAAAATAAAAAACTCACCGACAAGCCAAACACAATTGCGGCGATTTGTTAATAATGAAAGAAACGCGGAAAGAAAACGGGCCACGGCAGAGTCATCTTCCAGGATTCTCTCTGCGACTTACTACTACTATCACCAGTCGTTACTGTATCTACACAACACAAAACTCAGCGAGACAATAGATCAAACACATCATCATCACAATGCCTTCGAATAAAACCTCCTCACTCTTCCTCCTCCTCATTCTCATTCTCATTCTCATCTTCTTCTTCTTCTCAACAAACTCCCCTCCCTCTCCATCCCTCTCCACCACACGTAGATCACTCCTCACATCATCGTGCTCCTCCGCCAACCCTAACTCCAACGGAATCATCAACTACCACTGCATTTTCCCCCAAACTCCATCCCTCTCCATCACATCTCTCTCCATCCTCCTCATCCTCCATTTCTACATCCTCATCAAAACCGCACAACACCATTTCTCCATCGTAACCACCAAACTCGCTTCTCATCTCAATCTCTCCCCTAGCATGGCCGCCGTTACGCTACTCGCTCTCGGTAACGGCTCTCCCGACGTTTTCTCGTCTCTCGCCGCTCTTCGCGCCGGTCAGTATCGTACCGGATTTGGCGCGATACTTTCCGCTGGCGCTTTTGTTTCTGCTCTCGTTGTAGGTTTCGTCGCGATCTATGCGGCTCCGTTTCCTGTCGATCCGGCGCCGTTTGTTAGAGATGTTTTGTTTTATTTAACCGCTGCTATGTTTCTGTTTTACGTTTATCTTAGTGCCGAGATTTTTCTTTGGCAAGCTGTTGGATTTGTTGCGTTCTATCTCTTCTTTGTTGGTTTTGTGTTTTACATGGATTTAGGAATTGTGAATAGAAGGGAAAAGAGTTCTGCGGATCTCGAGGGACAGGTTGAATCATATTACGATGAAAAATCGCTGGGATCTGGAGAAAAAGAGAAACACGCTTCTGGATTTAGTGGATCTTTTCGTTTGGTATGTTTCAAACTTTCAATTCACTTTGAGTATAGATGTGATTTTATAGTTATTGGTATTTGATTATGCTATCGTCAATATAATAGTTTATGATTTGAATCCATAATCATGATTTAGTTCATTCCAATTCTGGCATAGTATTACTAAATTGATTACTGTCATCTTGGATGGTTCAGTTTTCTTCTTGATTGAAATACAGTTGTTTGATTACTTAAACTTCAAACACTGCTTTGACTCCAATCAATTCAAGGTTGTTTTGTGTTAGTTTGAAAAGTTTGCACTATGTTTTAGATCAGCTTTTGTGTTAGCTTAAAGGTATCTAAACATAAACCACTTGACTTCAAACTCAAAAACCAGTTTAATTCAAAATCAGGTTTGTTAAATATTTTGCCCAAGCACATAATACTTATTAGTTTAACTTGGTTGCACTTGCTAAAATTGGTTACTCCTAGGATGTACAAGAACAAAAGTAAAAGGCTTCCTTCAATAATATAAAAGCATTTTGTATTTTTTTTATTTTTAAAAAGAATAACAAAAGACTGATGCTGGTCTGAACTGGTTATCCAGATTTAACCTTGTAACAAAGCACTTGAGCTATTCATTTGATGTGCACCTCCTAAAAATGATTAAAATTCAACTTGAAAGCCTGGTTTTGGAGAAATTGTTTTTTTTCTGTTTGCATTTTTCTTTTTCATCTTCGATGCAATAAACTGGGAGCTCAGTTATATTTGGAGCTGAAACATTTAATAGTTATTAGATGTAGTAGTGACTTTTTTTTTTCTTTTCATATGATGAGTTTTTGTGATATTTTATTTGTTTCTCAAGTTTTGGACAGGAAAACGTGTACAGAATTTAATTTTGGAAAGAAACAATGCACAGTCAAAGCTTATGTGTGGTTTTTTAAATCCGCACATTGTAGATGACTCCTTGTTTAGTTCATTCAAAAATATTTCTTAAAACTTTATAAAAAGTAGTCAATGTTTCCTGTGTAAAAAATTAATACGGGCAATGTTATACATTACATGAAAAAATTATCTGTTTTTTTATATCATTATTGACTTATATTACTTGAGATTCTCCTGACGTAGTCCATACTTTGCTTACAGATTTCTAAAGCATGGGAGCTTCCTGTCTTGACACTCTTAAGATTGACAATCCCTCAACCAGCACCATCACAATGGAGCAGATTTTACGCATCAGCCAATATTGCTCTTTGTCCACTAGCCCTCTTATATGCATGCAACTCATTCATGCCACTGAATCATCCCATAGTTTTCCTCCTCCCTAATACTCTTTTCCCTCTCTGGTCCGTAGTGCTCATGACAAGCTTCTCTCTTGCGTTTCTTCATTTTGTGTTGGAAAAAGAACCCCCAAAAACAGAACATTTGCCTGTGGTGGTTGTGGCATTTGTTATGAGTGTGTTTTGGATATCTACCACAGCTGGAGAGCTGGTGAGTTGCCTCGAAGCTTTAGGAACACTTCTCAAACTGTCACCGGCATTCCTAGGTCTTACAGTGCTAGCATGGGGAAATTCGGTGGGGGATCTTGTTGCCGATGTTGCAGTTGCTAAAGCTGGTCATCCAGCAATGGCAATGGCAGGATGCTTTGCTGGACCGATGTTTAACATGCTTGTTGGTCTTGGAACTGCTTTGGTCATACAAACATCAAATATATATCCTAAAGCCTATGAACTTAATTTTCATGTGGGTATAGTGATTGCATTTGTGTTCCTGCTATTAAGCCTCATGGGGTCTCTTTTGGTAATCACTTGGTCTCGATTCCGAGTGCCTAGGTTTTGGGGATTCTGTCTCGTGGGCCTCTATATTGCTTTTATGGCGTTGAGTATGGTAGTAGCCATTTTTTCAAGTTGATTGCTTCTAGGAAGATTTAGATAGGCATGTTAAAAAAACCCAGTTCTCTTGAACCATATTTAAAAACAAATCTGGAACGCATTACAAATACTAAACCATTTAAGAAGAAAACTGGCCTATTCAGTTTTCTGCTAAAAATTCAGTTCTATCCCCAGTTTGATACCTGGTTTCTCCTCTTCTCTCGTAGACTATCATACTCGAAACTCAGATTCATAAATTACAGATGAACCCTAACCCCTAATTTGAAACCAACTCATTGCTTGTGATTCCATTCACACATTCTCAAATACTCCTGATTTTATTTATTTGAGTTCGTCCTCAACTCAAATTCATTCATGCTCTAAGCTCTTTGACGGCGTTCTATCTCTTGATTTCATTCATTCACATGATATTCTCTTTATTCTCCGTCGAAGATTAAGGTATTTTTGTGTTGCTCATTTCTTTTGTTCATTTGTGTGCTAGAAATTAGAATGATTTTGTGTGCTTTTGGTTGGTTTCTTGAAGCTTCCTTCCCTTGAAGCTCGGTTCCTGACTGAAGCTTTTTCATACACTTGAAGCTTTTTCTCATCAAACTTCACTCTCCTGGAAGTCCTGAAGGTCATTTCCTACCGGTCTTTTCACACCCACTCTAATTTGTTGGTTTTCTTGCTTAACTATATTATTGTGTGTGATTGTATGAATGATTATGGTTGAATGGTTTTGTGTTTTGGTGGTATTAAGCCCTTGATAGGGTTTTGTGCTCTTAGATATGCTCAGCTTCTAAGTTCCAATTATTTTGTGCAAGTTTGTTTTTTAAGATTAAAGTTTTATCCTAAATGTACTTGGCATAGTAGAATCATTCACATGCATATATTGATGATGCCTTGCTCTACCTGATATCAGTTGAAAAATATCAAATAGAAGGGTGTGCAAGAAGCAAACCTCAGGACGTGGAAAGTATTTATGGAATGGCAAAGATAATGATGACTTGTTGTCTTCATTTTCATTTTTTAAAAAAAAAAGGATTTTATTCAATTTTTTGCTAATTATCTTTACTTGAAGAATAGAAAATGTTTTTCCTGAAGTTATTTTGTAGAAAAAGGTCTTTCATGTCCATTGTATATTTCACCATGTTTGACAAAATGAATCATCATGAAGAGTTATAGGAAACAGAATTGTTGCTGGGAGGGAGTAAAGCTATGATTCAGCTATACGACTTATACATTCACTGTAAAGTCAGTGTACTGGCAAAGCAGTGGGTTTAGTACACAAGCAGTATTATTTATGGCTGTAATAATAGTTTGGCTTATTCTTTGTGCCCTGGTCTGTAAGTAAGAACATGGCTACATATCTGTTATTTGTCATCTAGTAAGTAATACTTTTGTCCTCTTATTTATCTGTCTTGTTCATCAATACCAAGTCCTTGTTTTCAATGATGAAATGAATTTAAGATATTGAATGAATCATTTAGTATAATATATATTTGGGTTGACACACAATTTAATGTTTACGTGGCAGGTATTACAATCTTGTGCTCACTATGAGCGTCAAATGTAAAAAGAGATGAAAAAGGTTTCAACTCAAGAAGGTTCAGGCAACAGAACAAACTCTTCTCAATTATGAAGAACAGCGCAGGTATAGTTTTGAACATGCTGCCTTTACTAATGTGATCTTTAATAAGTTTTCTTTTGGCAATCTGTTTTTCCTACAGAGTTACGCTACACCTGTTAGTTGGCCTATTTTTTTATGGAGCAACAATGTTGAATGTTTTAGTGTTTCTAATTCTTGTATGTTAGATTTTTTAATGACTTGTTTATTTACACACTTTGTCAACTGTATTTGATTACAAAAATCTGTTTATATTAAATTCTTGAAGATTTCATTACAGTTGTGTCAGAATATGACATTCTAAAACGTTGTCCAGGCAGAATGAGATCTATATTACATGATATTCTTAATTTCCTTTTATTGCTCTCCTGAAGGAACTATGCTAAACATAACAAGTATTGTCTCTCTTGACCCAAATTGTTTCACCATTTCATAATAATTTTTCATTGTACCTGTAGAATTGTTCCTGTTGACCAAAATTGTTTCACCATTTCATAATAATTTTTCAATGTACCTGTAGAATTGTTTCTGTTGACCAAAATTGTTTCACTCTTTCAACAAATGTTGGAAGTACGTGAAGAACATGAGGAGTAGCAAAGTGTGACTTGTAATGGCTCAGGGGAAAGTGGAATTGAAAGTGTACACTGTATTTGAAACCTGGAAATTTGTTGCAAGTGCGTCTTGGAAGTAGGGTTGTGCAAAATATCTGGTTATGAGGCCTGAACCCATAACCAGAGTCAGATTTGTTTTAAATATTAAGATTAAGTAATATGGTTACCAACCGATCCATTTCCAATTGGTTGGATATCCGCCTGTCATTTATTTTCCAATCCGGTTGTTATCCAGTTGTATGACTGTTATGCTTCTGTCTGCTATCAAAGTCATTCATTAGTAAATGAGTCATACATAAATTCATGGAAGGATGGAATACCATTGCATATCCCAGAAATTTCTCTTTGGAGTTAAGGTAGGAGAATTTATTGAACCAGACCTTGGAATGGTAAAAGATTCGGTGGTGTTCCAGATATGCAACCCGCCAGAGGTTCAATTTAATTCAGTTTCGTTGAGAATGAACATGAGGTTTACTACACGTTCTCAATTAGGAAACAATCCTTGTTTTCAAGACTCAATGTGAATTCATTAGGTGAACTGGTGGTTATATGTAATGCTGAAATTTGTGTCAAAGGAATTGATTTTGTACTGGTTATGCTATTAGAGATTTTTAATGAAGGAAGTGGTGTTGTTGATTTCTTGTTCCTACTGATTTTGGTCTTTAAGTTAAAAAGTCTGGGTTGTGTGTACAATTTGGTCTTGCAATCTGATTTTTAAACCTAGAAACAAGTTTTTGAATACAGATTTAGAAATAGATTTTGAACCAGGTTTGAGAGGATAACCAATTTAAAATTGTATTAGCTAAAATATTTGGATATGTAACTGTAATCAGAGTATAACCTGTTATGTAGCTGGTTTTGAACAAAAAGTAAATTTAGTTATTAATCATAATTTATTTAAGTGGTTTATAAATGGATATAGTTTGGCTTTTACCTCCTACCTGCACCTGATCTTGTTTCATGTAGTCAAATGATGCAATTCAAACTTGAACTCTTAATGCAGTCCATGACAACGTTACATTTACCACGTCTAATGAAACAGTATCTAAGATTATCTAAGAACATTTGGTTGTTTGTTTATTGTTCTCTATGTGCGGCTTTGTTAAAATGGTAAGTGTATGTATTTGGCATGGTTTTGTGTGGACTGGTATTGTTTCATGTAATGCATTTCTTCGCCACTTCCAAACAATTACCAAAGCTGAAAGTGGTGGCAAAATAGTTAAATTGAATTGATTTGAAAAAACTAAATATCAATTTATTAGCTCTTTTTGGTTTAATTACTTAAACAATGCACGCACGCACAAAGATTTAGGTTTTTTTTTTTATCAACAAAGATTTAGATTTATATTCATAACCTAAAACATTTAGAATCGTCTCATTTTAATACCAATGCATATTTGGTAGTCTCAAATATGAGAAGTACCAGTACTTAGATATTGTTACACTGATTCCATTGGAAGTACTAGTATTTAAATATTGTTACTCGGATTCCGCTGGTATTAAAATGAGATGATTCTATATAAGCATTAAGGGTTTAAAGTGGTAAGATTTTAAAGAAATGCATTAAATATTTAAAGTGGTAAGATTTTTAACAAATGTGCATTGAAAATTGAAACAATTAAATTTTGTAAAAAATATTTTTTTTTTATTTGATATCCTTAAAAGTGTTTTGGAGCACTCCTTAAAAGAAAAACTCAAAGTACAGCTTAAGTGATCATATATTTGATATTTGCCCCTTTTCTTTAAATTGGTAGTCTAATGTCAAAATTATTCTATCACTTGACTGAAATAGTTGAATAAAAAAAAGCTTAATTACTTAGCTTTAACTTTATAACATTGTTTCTATTAATCCCCTCACCAAGAAGTCAATTACAAACCTACTTTACACTAGCGTGGCTAAAGAAATATGGCAGTGCCACTAGCTTCTTAGCCAATATGTTTGCTGTGTGGAAAGAGTCCCTTCTGTTTCCCTCTCAGTGATGGTGCAATATATTGCACGTAGAATTATGCCACTTATACAAATTTCATATAAAACTCGTGATTCATCTAATTAAAAGAGTTGACAAACAATTAAAATAGTTAAAATTGTACCATGGATTATTTAAGTTATTTAATTGTAATGGTTAGTTTTTTAAGTTGTTTTCTACAAATAAAAATTTTAAATTACATAACATCTACACCCTTGTCATTTTTTAAAGAATTCGTTTGAAAAATACATATTGATATTAATATTGGTGATGTGACATTAACGATACTGACATGAAACGAAATAGTCAACTTAAATTTGTGTCTTTTCGATGAGATTTTGATTAGGGGTGTGTAAAAAAACCAATTATTGTTAATCAAATTTGTATCTAAATTGTTTCATTTTTAAAATTTCAAATCAAATGCTAAAATATAAATCTGATTATCCATTTTGTTATCCAAATATAAACTGATTTCCATAATAATAATGTGGTTTAGTTATTGGGTATCCAAATTTTATTATTGGTTAAATTGATATGTTTTTGTCTTTTTCATGTTTTATCATATACTCGTTATAAACCAATTTTATATTTTGAACTATTTTAAAAAAAAAATTTAATTTCATAAAAAAAATCATTTTACAAAATATTCAAAATTTTGTATTTTAAAATGAAAAAAAAAAAATTATTTACAAATTTTCTAAGTACCTAAAATGGTGTACTAATATTTCATAAATTATATGGACTTTTACAAGTTAATTATACGAATTTTCAGTAATTAATTATATAGATGTTAGTGCATCAAGTTTGATTTGGCATGTGCAAAAAAATATACCAA